GATCCAGCCTTAGAGCCCTTCCACAGAGCCATATAACCCAGAATATCAAGGCAGAAAATCCCACAATATCTGCTTTGAACTGGATTATATGAGTCCACACTGCCATATATTCCAGTTCAAAGCAGATAATGTGGGATTTTATTCAACTCTGTGGAAGGGGCCTTAGTTTAGATCCGGCCTAGGCCTATGTTTTCCTGAACAGCTCATGGACAATTGGTAAGTTTATTCTCTCCTGTGAGCAGGCCTGTAGCGAGGGGGTGGTTTTAGGGGTTCAAACTCCCCCCCCCCCCGAAATGTTTCAGATTTTTTTTTAAAAACCTGGTTTACTCATGAATTTTAACTGGTTAACAAATCCTCATGCTAAGTCTATGAGAAGCAAAAAATTAAGAGTCCCTCCAGAACTGCAAGCACTATCTCAGGCAAATATTGACAATTTATTCACACTGTCATTACTTGCAGCAATAGCGAAGCAACCAAGTTGGGGGTGGGGGGTGGGGTGTTGAATGCTCTCATTAAGGAGGCCAGACTTGGTGGAGGTGGTTGACAGGGGCAGAGCTGCAGGCTATTGAAGGCTGCTCTGCCCGCTGTGCTCTTTGCTTCAATGTGAGCTAGAGGCAGGTTTCAACCCCCCCCTCCCAAATTTCAACCCCCTCCCCCCAAATTTCAACCCCTCCCGAAATTTTTTTCTGGCTACGGCCCTGCCTGTGAGCCATAGAGGCATTTTGTGATGGTTTTAGTAATGGTAGGTATTTGTGGTCAGATAATGAAAGGTTATTATCTGCCTTGGACAAAGGGAAAGAAAGGGATAGTACTTAAAATACTCACTGGATTCATAGGGACGGGCTTCAATGAGTGAAATACAAAAGTTATTATATTTTCACCACAATTTGTGTTAACCTTAGGGCTGTTAGACTGGTACTGGTTGCTCTTCTGGCCTGGTACAAAATCCTCACTTTCCCTCCTTCACAATCATATTTGCATAGAATTAATATTAAAGGACTTCAAAAAATGGCACAGACGCCAGTGAGAAATTAAAGAGCATTGTGTGGGAAATCCTCCTTTCATTTCAGTCTGTATAGGATTCACCAGGCATAATTACAAAAATTGCCAGAAAATGAAATAAAATAAAGACATCTATTGTTCATACATTTCATTGCCTTTGTTCATTTCTCTCCCACCAAGAAAACTTCATGTAAGTACGTATGTGTCATTTGCCAACCTGCCTGGGGCAATAGAGTAAATTACATCTATTTCTATTTCATATTACTTGTGGGGAGGGAGGATCTGTTCTTCCTGCTTGTCTCTTATATATAAAGGTTTTCCAGTTTAAATATCAGTCAGAAGAAGTTATATAAATGTCTGTGAAAGTCGTTTTCACAGAGTGTGGTTAAACTTCAAAGTCAACATCTCATGGGAGGAAGAGGAGATATTTCTCAATCCTATTTCTCACAATTGATTTAACTAATGTTCTCAGGTAAAACTATGGACAGTTCTGTGGGACTACATCCAATGAGTGTATTTACAGGTACAGACTTATAATAATGTCTTGTTGTACCACATTATTATTCCCAGCGTTGAATTAGGAAAAACTGGGTACAAATCTCCAAAAGTCCATGAAACTCACCGAGTAACTTTAAGTCACTCTCATTAACTCTAGAATTTACTTTGAAGGTAGGTTGGGATGGTAAATGTAAGGAGGAGGGCTCTGCACCCCACCTTTCTCTCTTAAGGAAGGGAGGAATATACATGAATGGATAAATGAGCACTTGTTTCCATATATGATATGTATGTAGAAAACGGGATTTCTTTAATGTTCACATTGGCTTATTTACTATAAAATGAGCACAACCCACCTGTGATCCACCGATATTGCTTTATAGCCATGAAATGTTACATCCCCACAAACCAAAATACAAGTAGGAAACCTGAGAATATGGGCTACTTTACTGTTTGGCTACATCTCCTTGGACGCATTTACACTGTACAATTAATGCAGTTCGACACCACTTTAACTGATATGGCTTAATACTGTGGAATCTTGAGATTTGTAATTTAGGGAGGTCTCAAGACTCTTCTGCAGAGAAGATGTTGTAAAACTACACCTCCCATGGCAGCTAAAGTGGGGTCCAATTGCATTAATGCTACTGGAAAGATGCAACCCTTGAAGTACATTTAGTTTAATCGTAGACAATTTTTGGACAATTTCGTCCCATCCTTAGAAATTCAATAAAAAAACTTTAAAATTGCAGTCAAGGCCACAGGACACAATAATACCTTGGGACGCTACGTTTCAGTCAGCAGAGAAAACAAATTACCCCTTTATGACTCAGACAACAAAGAGTTGGACTCTAATGTCGGATACTCCAATAGAGACTTGGAAAGAGCCCTGGTCTGGAATTCAAGGACTGCAACCGAGCGGAATTAATCTTACACATGGGATACTACCCACTTAGATGGTCTCTTGCGTAGAGTAGGAGCTGAGAGAAGACCGTCCTACTTACCGAATATCACTTGGTGTGTCCCGACAACAGCTACAAGGTGTTCTCAGTAGACCTCGACAGTGAAGGAAGAAACAAAACAAAAAAGCAAACCAGGGTTGTATTCTCCTGGTGAAAAGGAGTTTAATCACAGTGAAGGAACCTAACCCCCTTGTTCCTGAAAGAGGGATTCAGAAGTGCAACAGGCAAATTCATATGTACTTTGCAATGTGTACTTGAAAATTAACTTATGAATTCATGTTAACATCAATACAAGACTTTCCCATTAAAGGTTTCAGGAACTGAGGACTCCCAAGAATGCCTTTAAAACCCAAAGCCATTCAAGCCTCAATAATGCCATTAACAAAACCAAAAAACCACAGCTTCCCCAATGGTCTTCATTATTTGTAACGCCTTCAATTTCCAAATATTAGTCACTAAATACATTTTTCAATTATTATGCATAATTACGAAAATACATTATTATGCCTAATTAATTTTTGAAAAAATCCTATGACATTTTTAAAAAGTTGAAACTAAGTCAAATGCTGTCTTCATTGGCTGTGATCCAGTGATGTTTAGAATGATCCCACATCAAAGTAAATCAACATACAGGGATACCAGTGGATTTTAGTTCTAATATTTCATCTCCATTGTCTTGTGACTGGAGAAGACAGGCAACCTTAAGAAAGTGTATGGGTTTGTTTTTAATTGCTGGGTATTTTTTTCAGATAAATTGAAATAGGCTTTTACTTCTTTCAGTCATTAAAATTGTAGAAAAAACGTGCACAAAATACCACATTGAACTAGTTAACTTTTCCTAGGATATTATTCATCATTCTGATATATTGTTCTTTGGTTCTGTACTGACAGTATCAGTTTTTTTGCTCATTTTCCTCTTGTCTCCGGTGATTTCCAATCTATCTAACTTTATAAACAATGAAAAGTAAAAAAAAAGAAAAGAGCAAATGTGTGATGCCATAAACAATGAGGGCTGAACCCTGTTTGTCCCATGGGGGAATAAACACATTGGATGAAGTACTGAATATTTAATGAATATATAGGTGAAGTCCATTGATTCAGCAGGGCTACCTACTTGGGCCTCATAATAGGATTTAAGCCTAATCGATTTATTATGGAGCAAGCTTTTGAGCCATGAATCCTTGGATACATTTGTGTTATATATGCTACATGTAAAGTTCTGCAATTTTTCTCTCTCTGCCTGTATACATGCACACACACATGAATGACAGATACAGAAATGCAGGTATGTATATCTATGTGATTGTGGTGGAGTGGTTTGAGTATTGGACCTACAACTCTAGAAACCAGGATTTGAATCCCTGCTGGCCATTGACTTTGGGCAAGTCATCCAGTCGCAGAGGAAGACAAAGGAAAACCCCTCTGAACAAATCTTGCCAAGAAAACCCCATGACAGGGTCACCTTAGGGTTGTCATAAGTGAGATACCTTGAAAGCACACAGCAAATAACTGTATTATAGATACCTAGGTAAATTGATACTGACTCTGAAGCAATGGCAATGCAAGAGACTACTATCTTTAGGCACCTTTCTCTTTACCCAGGGCCCTTCCAAACAGGCCCTATATCCCAGGATCTCATCCAAGACTTTCTGCTTTAAATTGGATTATATGAGTCCGCACTGCCAGATAATCTGGGATAAACAGAAAACCTGGGATTAGATCATGTGATATAGGGCATGTCTGGAAGGGCCCCTTGTGTTAATAGTACTAATTGCTGTCTGTATTTATTTTAACTTAACTCCTACAAGAGGTTTTGAGAAGTCAATGCCCAGTTAGGACAGAAATAATAGCACATATTCAGTAGGCTCTGATCACCATTCAGCCCAGAGAAAAGCCCAAGAGATATGGATATGAAATAAGATGAAGACTAAAGTTGCAGGCCAGGATATGTCCCAGCATCTCGACTGGCTCTTCTTACACTGAAACAGGACTAGGTGACCAACCTTGCTTGATTTCTTGCCTGAGCTGCAGTGTCGACAAAGCTGAAGTGAAAACACGAGGTGGCGCCCTTGATCCACTAATCCAGAAGAAGACCATTCATGAGCTGTCAAAAGTCAAGGTCACAAATTGTCTTTCCCCCCCACCCTCAACAAGGTCAAGGTTTAAGGCCTTCCTAGCCCTGCCATTTCAACAAATACCACACTCCCCCCCCCCAACCCCTTTTAACCAGCTCTACTAATAAACCTTAAATACTACACACTCTTTGCATTTGTGGTCTCGCAACTGTTTTTCATTTTGGAAGAGGTGCGCATGCCCTACTTTTATATCTCTTTTTTCCCCTTCTAAAAGTTGACTCTTTAACCCTACTGAAACATTTATAGTTTAGTAAAGCTAGTTATCATGCATTTATTCTCTGTGTTATGCAATTTACAGGGAAAATATGAACCATAGCAGCAATTCAATAGAAAATCTACCAGGCCTACAAGCAAAGGAGATGCTTATATAAGTGGGAGGGGGTCAATAAAGGAGGGTTTAATCACATTTTTATCACAGTGACTGTTTTATTAACAATTTTAACTCTAGCATCTATCTACAGCACTTAAATTTTCATTTTCAGTAAAAATATATATAAAAAGGAGGGTGCACAAATACATTTTCACAGTGCGCTGATTTTTTATTATTATTACTGTATTATATTTACAAGATAGCATCTTATGGTGTATAGGAAAAAGTACTGTGCTGGTTGAAGTAACTGATCTGGTTTTGGGGGGAAAGTGCTGCAAAATGGATTCCTACAGTGGGTTGTTGTGAGTTTTCCAGACTGTATGGCCATGTTCCAGAAGCATTATCTCCTGAAGTTTCACCTGCATCTATGGCAGGAATCTTCAGAGGTTGTGATGAGCTCACAACCTCTGAGGATGCCTGCCATAGATGCAGGTGAAAGGTCAGGAGAGGATGCTTCTGGAACATGGCCATACAGCTCAAAAAACATACAACAACGCACTGATTCTGGCCATGAAAGCCTTCGGGAATACATTGGATTCCTACACTTTCTACAGCATAACTGTAAAATAAAGAAGGAAAAAAATGACTAATTACTCATAGATCAAAATATAGGATATAGAAATCAAAATATCTCTGGGAAGCAAAATACATTTTCAGGATGGATATTCTTTGAGAGTGTTTCTCACAGAAAAGAGAGCACTCTTCCCAAGATTCATGCACTTCTCTCTATTGGAGGTGCACATTGATTAAAATAAGAATTTGTGGGATTTACACCATGTTATAATTGCTTAACATCACGAATATTGAAAAGCTGGAGCAAAACTCTCCCCAAATTTCTGAAATACACATTGCCCCACTAAGTTTTTGTATCAAAAATATGAAATACTGGAAAAAAATAAAGATATTTTCAAGAAAGGCCCCTCCCTCTTTTTTGGTATATGTCCCCATTAGTTTATGTTGCTTTATGTTTTATCCAAGATTAGTTCTCCTCAGAGTAATATTTTCACTGCTATGTTTGCAATGCTTATGCAGTACCTTCCTCAGGGGGGGAAAAGACAGAAAGAAAACATAGAATACATTGCTTGAACATACAGTAATTGTACTTTCTCTTCACTTATGTTCACCTGAGCAACCATTCCGCATGCTTTTGGGGACAGCAATGTAAGGAATTGAATTGTGCACATATATACATATGCGTTTTTGAAGAAAAAAAATCAAATTATAGTCCTAAATAGTGTCCTAGAAAAGTCATAGTCATACTTACACGCCTTTCAACAAAAAAGTATATTTTTCTTTCAAATCTGAAACTGAAATATCTCTGCTTTGGGCATTTGGACTCTGTTTCAGTCATGACAATTGTCTCTTGTTGGTATCTTGTGGGCGAACTGTCAAGTCTCTCTACAGCAATTTTATGACCCATTCTGATTCAAAAGCCATTTCCCCAAAGACACAGAGTTCTTGCAAAAGAAGAAGTTCATCCTCTTGTCTTTTTTAATTATTATTATTATAATTACTATTATTATTATCATTTGAATCTGGACCAAAGAAAAAAGTTTTCAGGCCTCCGGGCAGCTGCATTTTCTACTTAATCCATTAACTGGTCGTCTTCAATTTGTTGATGACTTTTTTTTCTTTCACCCTCCTGTTTTGGAACCAGATTGTGACTTGCCTCTCTGAGAGGTTTGTAGTGGCTGATATCCTTCTCCGCTTGTCCTTGGTAATGAATTTATTTGTAGCGTATTCCCTTTCGAGTTCTTTTAACTGGACCTTGGTGTAAGGCACGCGTTTCTTCCTCCCACGTCTGTAGGAGTTGGCATCGGAAGGATGGGAAACCACGTCTGGAACAGAAAATCAACACAGGAAGGCAGGCATTATTGACTACTATATGTTTAAGCCACCAGGCTGATGACTGATCCCTAGTATTTTCTTTCAAGCGAAAGAATTGGGGCTAAACTTACTCTGTACAGAGTTACAATGGTCTCGAAATTACCCTTCCAAAAGGTGGGCTTTCCTCTCCCTCACCGTTTCACATTAAAGGCTTTCGGAAAATTATACGCAGCTTTAGTAACCTATGAAGTGTGGGAGCTGAGACCTTGGTGGAAAAGAGAGTATGATCTGGAAATTCTTTACACTCCTTTCCCAAACTAATCCACAGAAAATGATTATAACCCCCCCCCCCAACTATGGCTCTATTCTCTATTGTTCTGGCCAATAGAAAGAAAGAAAATAATCCATAAGTAGTTTGGATACAGTTCGAAAGAGAAGAGCCAGAAAGAAACTAAACGCATGGAGAGGAGTCTCCTGAACTTGAAAGAGTAGCATTTGTTGCACTGAGACTGTAAAGGAGTTGATAGTTACTACAGTAACTCGGGTAGACTTGTGTTAAGGGCAAGAAAAGGGAGCTTCAGTTTTGTTCTATGGACAGGACCGGGTGCTCCAACCAAAATGGCTGATGGTAACATCAGGGAATGCGGTACTAAGACTAGTAAAGTGGGGGCTCGCTTGAATACAATCAGATTATTGCCGAGAAGGTCGTTTGGAAGCAAATCCCACCGTTTACAAAGGAGCTCGGCTTCAACGCAGAAGCGGAAAAAGGAAAGGGCTGAAATGGGCAGCAGGGCTGGAGTATTAAAAAGAGCCAGCTATTCTAGGGAGGGGTGGGGGGACATCGGAGCAGCAGCTCCGGGTCTTAACTGGAAGAGCTGCGCCTTGGGTAAAGGGAAGCAGCTCCGCCTTTGTCGAAGGCTTTCATGGCCAGAATCACTGTGTTGTTATAGGTTTTTTCGGGCTACATGGCCATGTTCTAGAGGCATTCTCTCGTGACATTTCGCCTGCATCTATGGAAAGCATCCTCAGAGGTAGTGAGGTCTGCCTTTCTTAGCTAGGGAGGAGAAGTCGCCATCCTCCAAAGCTATCCCTCACTTTGTCCTAAGAGAAGGGGGCAAGCAATACCATGAGAAAAGGGTGGCTGGACTAGGGATGTCCTTTAGTAGCGGTAGCAGTAGTAATAATAATGGCTATCAAAGGGTCGTCTTCAGATATGATATTATTATTATTACTATGTTACTATTATTACTATAATTATGACTATTATCACTGTTATTACTATTATTATTGAGGAAACTCTCAGCCTACATCCTCAACCTAGCTAGGAAGGAGTGAGCATATTACTATTACTATGATTATTATTATTATTATTGAGGAAACTCTCAGCCTACATCCTCAACCTAGCTAGGAAGGAGTGAGCATATTACTATCACTATGATTATTATTATTATTGAGGAAACTCTCAGCCTACATCCTCAACCTAGCTAGGAAGGAGTGAGCATATTACTATTATTACTATTATTATTATTATTATTATTGAGGAAACTCTCAGCCTACATCCTCAACCTAGCTAGGAAGGAGTGAGCATATTACTATTATTATTACTATTATTATTGAGGAAACTCTCAGCCTACATCCTCAACCTAGCTAGGAAGAAGTGAGCATACACTCCTTGCAAGGCTGTGAATACAGAAGAAGTCGCCATCCTCCAATGCTTTCCCTAACTTTACTCTAAGGACGCATAGGATCGCCAATGGGGAAAAACAATTGGAGAAGGGGCACCATTGAGATTATATTATTATTACTATTATTACTGGGGGAAAGAGATCCTGTAGCACAAGGCATGCAACTTAGCCCTTCCTAGCTAAGTAGAGGATGGACAAGGAGAGAGTCTCCAGCACTCTCTAATTTTGCCCTAAGAGAAAGGCGCATAGGATCCCAAATGGAGAAAAATGTGGAAATATCATAATCCTCCTGAGAGAAGGATAGCTGGAGAAGGAGTGCCCTTGAGATGATGATGATATTATTATTATTATTATTATTATTATTATTATTATTATTATTAGAGAAAGCGATCCTGAGGTACAAAGCATACAACCGATCCCATTTCCTAGCTAGGTTGAGGATATAGGAGAAGAAGTCGCCATCCTCCAACGCCCTCCCTAATTTTACGCATGGGGTCCCCAATGGGGAAGGAAGCTTGGAGAAGGGGCGTCCGTGGTATATTAATATTGTTATTATTATAAAAATAATATTAATTGGGGAAAGCGATCCTATGGCACAAGGCAAAGTTTAAGAAGGTGTGTTCTTGATTTATTATAATTATGATATTAAAAATTAATTGGGGAAAGTGTTCCTGTGGCACAAGGCAAGGTTGGAGAAGGGGCGTCCTTGATGTATTATTATTATTACTATATTGATTGGAGAAAGCGATCCTGTGGCCCAAAACATGGTTGGAGAAGGACCTCCTTGATATATTATTGTGATTATTATTACTATTATTAAAATAATATTAATTGGGGAAAGGGATCCTGTGGCACAAGGCAGATTGGAGAAGGGGCGTCCTTGATTTATTTCTATTATATTAAAATATTAATTGGAGAAAGCGATCTTGTGGCACAAAACAAAGTTGGAGAAGGAGCGTCCTTGATTCATTATTATAATTATTTAAAAATACTAATAGGGGAAAGCGATCCTGTAGCACAAGGCATGGCTGGAGAAGGAGCTCCTATTGTAATATCATTATTATATATATATATTAATTGAGAAAAGAGATCCTGTGGCGCAAGGCATGGTTGGAGAAGGAACTCCTTGATATATCATTGTGATTATTATTATAATAAAATATTTTGAAATGGGGAAAACAATCCTATGACACAAGGCAAGGTTGGAGAAGGAGCTCCTTGATATATTATTATTATTATTATTATTATTATTATTATTATTATTATTATATTAATTAGGGAAAGGGATATTGTGGCACAAGGCACGTTTGGAGAAGGAGCTCCTTGATATATTGTATTATTATTATTATTATATTAAAGAAAGAGATCCTGTGGCACAAGGTATGCTTGGAGAAGGAGCTCTTTGATGTATTATTGTGATTATTATTATAAAAATAATTTGAATTGGGGAAAACGATCCTGTGGCACAAGGCAAGATTGGAGAAGGAGCTCCTTGGTATATTATTGTGATGGTTATGATTATTAAATACATATATTAATTGGGGAAAGAGATCCTGTGGCACAAGGCATAGTTGGAGAAGGAGCTCCTTGACATATTATTATTATTATTATTATTATTATTATTATTATTATTATTATTATATTAATTGGGAAAAGCGATCCTATGGTACAAGGCAAGGTTGGAGAAGGGGCACCCCTGTTCTTCTTATGAGCCCCTATTCTTGTTCTTCTTATGAGCTCCTCGGGCAGGCAGGAGGTCGGCTCTGCCGCCAAGGGAAGGGCCCGCAGGTGCATTGATTTACCGGGAAGAGTCGACTTCCAGAGGTGGGGCGGCTGGTTCTGCTCCTTGGGGCAGTAGACCTGCCCGTTCCAGCCGTTGGCGATGGCCCAGGGCTGGTGGTAGCCCTCCATGAGCATGGAGTCGTGGCGGGGCTCCCCTCGTCCACCCAGGCCGGGCACGACGGGCATATCCAGGTAGCCGGGCACGGGCTGGTGGTAGGGCCCGGCCGGGTAGCCCTGGTAGAAGGCGAACTCCTTGGCGCGGGAGCTGAAGTCTTCCCCGGCGGCGGCGGCGGCAGCGGCGGCGGCGGCGACGGAGGAGGTGTCCATGTACTTGTCGGCGAAGGCGGCGGAGGGCTGGGCGCAGGACTTGAGCGGAGGCGGCGGGGGAGGCGGGGGCGCGTTGTGCGGGTGGTGGTTCATGCCGCAGGGGAAGTACCCGCTGCCGAAGTAGCCGTAAGGCAGGGCGGCGGGGCCCGGGGGGCTCTGCACGGCGGCGGAGCAGGGGCTGCACTGCTTGACAGCCGGGCCGGGCTCGGCCATGACCGCCGGAGGCCCCACGGCCACAGCGGAAGGCGCCTCGCTGGGGGAGGAGTACGCCGCCGGGCCAGGGCCCGCTCCTCCTGCGGCGGCGGCGGCCAGGGAGGCCGGGTGTCCCATCAGGTTGCGGCACTGGTTGGCGGCCACGAAGTTGGATCCCCCGCCGCCCCCGGCCGCCGCCGCCGCCGCCGCCACCGCCGCGTGGAAGCCGGCTTCCATGTTCTTGTTGATCTCCTCCAGGCTGCTGTTGTCGTAGAGGAACATGACGGGCTCGATCCAGCGGGGATGGAGGAGCACGGAGGCTGTCATAGCCCGATCCGCATCGAGAAAACAACGCGTGGCTCTTTTTTAAAAGCCCCACAGACTGAAAAAAGAGATGAGACTAAATCTCCCCGAGTTGACCAAAGGGGCTGACGCGCCAGGGTCGCGCCAGGAGGCGGCCCATTGGCCCGGCCCGGCCCACGTGATATGCAAAGCGGCCGATAAACATCTCGCAGGCAGGCAGGCAGRMAGRMAGRMAGAAAGAAAGAAAGRAAGGGGAGATAATTAAATCGCGTCCTAATCGCGGCGGGGCTGGGGTTTCGGACGCGGACGGGGCTTGGCGAGAGGAGGACCCCCCTCCCCARTTTGGGACTTGGGGGAGACCGGGGAGGCAGGAGTTGGGGTRCCAGAGAAAAGCAGGTATTTCCCCCTCCCTCCCTCTTTCCTTCCCTCCTCCTTTCCCTCCTTCCTCCTTTCCCTCCCAAGTGTGGATGTTCCCCACCCCTCCCTCTCTCCCTCCTCCCTCCCCCATCCCCCTCTCCAGTCCATTGCCTACAGGAAATTCTTTTCAACAGGATATCCACGGGGTTTGTGCCAGAAAAGCCTTCTGACTTTCTGAACATTTTCTTGGTGATCAACTGGTGGTTATTCGGCTTTCTCTTTTCTCCCCGAAGCCGTCCCGCCCCACTCTCCCTCGCCCCCACTTTTCCTCCCTTGGTTGCTGAGGCTGGAAGGCAAGAAGCATTCAGCTTTGTCACGATACAAACTATAACAGTGTGCGTGTTGGGTTTCATCCCTAGACTGCACTAGTCTCTTGTGTCATCAAGTTTCCAGATCTCAGTGAGTAGCTAGACTAGAGATAGGATTAGGCTGAGGGAYCCCCCCCCCTCCATTCCTATTCATGTTTCCCAAARGGGTCTTGTGGAAGGGCCCTCAGCTGTTAGGTAAAGCCCTTTGTCTTTATCTAACAGCTCAGGGACCTTCCACATAGCCCTATATCCCAGAATATCAATTGGTCCAAAAGTTAGTGTAATACCTTGCATTGATGGTGGAACCATTTTGAAAGAGGTCCACTAGCCGTTATCTGAGTCCACACTTAGATAATGTGGGATTTTCTCCCTTGATATTCTGGAATATAGGGCTGTGTGGAAGGGCCCCCAGATTCCCCAACAGTGCTGGATCTACACTGCCGAAGAATGGAGTTTGAACTGCATCATATGCTCAGTGTAGACCCATACAACGTAGTTTGAAGTGCATTATATAGGTGTACACCAGGCGTGGCCAAACTTGGGCCCTTCAGGTGTTTTGGACTGCAACTCCCACCATTTCTAACAGCCTCGGGGCCCATAAGCAGCTGAGAGGGAAAAGGGAAAGGGCCTGAGGCTGTTCGAAATTGGGAGAGTTGGTGTCCAAAACACCTGGAGGCCCAAGTGTGCCCATGCCTGTTCCACACTGACCAAATTGTGCTATCTGGTAGTGTAGATCCAGCCTGTGTGTATAACCCATCTCCTTTCCAAACCAACGCCTGCTGAATCCAGTTTGGATTCACATTTTTTGAGAAATAAGTATTTGCAATAGTCCCTCTTTCGTATTAAAGGGTGGAAAGGGACCGATTAGATAACGCAGAGACTGGGAAAGAAGGGGTTAAGCCGACCACAGATATGAATCAACCTCACTCCGTTATTATTGCAACCATAAAACGGGGCAGCCGACAATTTGCGCTTCTTGAATCATCCCCGAGTATGAAACAATGTTGCGTGGGATTATGAACTGTCTTTGCGGGACCGCAGGGATTCCCTCTAGTTGTTCTTGGTGCTGCTGTTGCTCAATTCCCCTTTGCACTCATTTCTCCATTGGTGTTGGGGAATCAGAGCTGTTGGGCTCAAAAACCTTCAGTTGGGGCGATTCCACCATAAATATTGCAGAGTACTAGAAGTAAATCTAGGATTAACTTCTATACCTCAGAGTGGTTTAGGATTGCAGAATCAGAAACTATTTGCTAGAGATAATATCCATTGAGTTCAATGGGACTTACTCCCAGGTTGTGGAGTGTAGCATACAAGTCACAATTCTTAAATTAATAAAGCCAGCCTCCCCCCCCCCCCCCCCCCCCCAAATATAGAGACATCAATCAGGGTAGCATATCAGGGGATGGAAGATATACAACGACTAGAGTTTATGGTTTAGTTCTCTCTCTCTCTCTCTCTCTCTCTCTCTATATATATATATACATATATATATAATAGCCATGTATAAGTGAGAGGAAATCATAGGGAGGAGGGAGCAAGCTTGCTTTCTGCTGCCCTGGAGACTAGGACGTGGAACAATGGCTTCAAACTACAAGAAAGGAGATTCCGTCTGAATATTAGGAAGAACTTCCTGACTGTGAGAGCCGTTCAGCAGTGAAACTCTCTGCCCCTGAGTGTGGTGGAGGCTCCTTCTTTGGAAGCTTTTAAACAGAGGCTGGATGGCCATCTGTCGGGGGTGCTTTGAAGGCAATTTTCCTGCTTCTTGGCAGGGGGTTGGACTGGATGGCTCATGAAGTCTCTTCCAACTCTCTGATTCTAGTAAAGGGATACAAGGTAGATGTGAAGGAGGGAAAACCAGAGGTTTATAGGTCCCTGGCTCCAAAGAAAGCACGAAACTCCCTTCCCCTCCTGCAAAATGCGTGTTTCTTTTCTGACAGGTCTGGGTGAACTATTGTGCTCGCCCTGGGCAAGGCAACCTTGCTGTCTCCGCAGTGCTACAAGGGTGGAATGCGAAATCGTGCCTCGCTGGAGACTCTCCTTTTTCCCTTGTATGTCAAGGAAGGAACAGATCTGTCAGCTCGCCTGTCCACCAACCGGGCAGGTCTTGGCTCTCGGCGGAGGGTGGTATGCGATGCCGGGCAATCTTGTTGTCACCGGGACCATATTTCAGCAAATTCTCTCCAGGGCAGCCCATAAAGGCTTCCCTTCCTGTCCAGCCCCAGCCTCCTCTTGGATGGGCTTTTCCGCATTCCTTCTCATGGCCAAAGGCAAATATTTATTCCTGGGATATTTTCAATCCATCTCCCCTCTTCTTCTCTCTCTCTCTCTTTCTCTCAATCTCTCTCTGGGCTTTTCAGGAAGAGTAAAACTTGGCCTCCCAAACCCTGCCATTCTTTTAGTGGCTGGGAAAGCAAGTTGTGGGATCCCCTTCTTACAGCTCATCGCCAAAGCCCAGCACACACACCCCCTCCTCATTTAGGTGGGCAGTGCTGTTTTACATACGGGTTAGACACCATTAGAGGCCAAGGTCAAGTTGAAAGTTGCAGTCTCGCCAGTGCCAGGAGTGTCCTTCAAAGCCCCAGGAGCCTGTCTGGTTCGTTAAAGAGGAGCAGCAGTGAGGAAGCCAATGGCTCCTTCCTTTCCTTCCCCCTCCCCGTTTCCCCCACATCACCCTCCCTGGCGTCTGCTTTTTCTCGCCTTTTCTCTGCCTTTCCCCCCACCCACCCACACCCCCGCTCTTTTCTCTTTCCGAGCAGTTTTCCACGTTTTTCAAGTTCAGAAGAAGATGGGGCCCAATGTGGCTCTTCAGTATCCAAACATACTGTGGCTGCGTGAGGGCATCACCCGAGAGAGTGTGTTTGTGCAGGCTTGCTTGGCTTTGTTCCAAGGCAGAGGTTGGGGAGGGGGAGCGGATGGGGTGGAAAGAGCTGTGTGTGAGAGAGAGAGAAAGAGGGAAAGAAAGGAGAATCTCTTCCAAGGATTGCTCACGATTCTCCACCTCCCTAGGCAGGCCAAGTTTTGGTGGACATTGGTCAAAACAGAAGCCTTGAATCTCACCGCCAATATGCGGACCAAGAATGACCAGGACTTACAATGTGCTCCATTTCTCTCCAGTTGGAAATGTGTTTCAGATGGATAGATAGATAAATAAATAAATAAATAAATAAATAAATAAATAAATAGATAACAGTGTTATTGGGGAAAAAATCTGTTCCTGGTTTGAAAGTATGACTTCCTGTTTAATTGTGCGGTACTTACTTTGAAACTAGTTGTTACACTCCAGAAACTTCATTTTTGTGGCTGCCACAAACTATGTTGAATTAGTTGAGATAGTCATTGAAAAACTATAGCCTGCAGGATTTGCAGTTTAACAAACTTTCCATGTTTTGATGATATAACCAATTAAAAATGATATTTCTAACCCAGAAACAAAAATAGTGTCATATAGTGTAATTGCAAGCCGCCTTGGGTCCCCTGTGAGGTGAGAAAGGCGGGGTATAAATGAAGAAAGTAAATAAATAATAATGAATAAATAAATTATAGGACATGGCATAGTTGCTGCTTTAGAATTTCCATATGTCACTCTGTTTCACCAGTTTTTGGGGCAACCAAATAATCAAAGAGGTGCCCAAAATGCTCAGATAAAATTCCTTGCAGAAAACCAGGAGATAAGCAGATGGAGCAAAGCCACAGGACGCATCAGAGGCTGGATTTACATTGCCAAATAATGCAGTTTGAACTAGATTGAACTGGGTTGTTGTGAGTTTTCGGGACTGTATGGTCGTGTTCCAGAAGCATTATCTCCTGACGTTTCGCCTGTATCTATGGCAGGTATCCTCAGAGATTGTGAGGTCTGTGAGGTGACCTGACAACCTCTGAGGATGCCTGCCATAGATGCAGGCGAAACGTCAGGAGAGAATGCTTCTGGAACATGACCATACAGCAGGCCCGTAGCCAGGATTTTGTTTGTCAAGCCCCCCCCCCCCCCGCTACATGCCTGCCATACAGCCTCAAAAAAACTCACAACAGCCCAGTGATTCCGCCATGAAAACTTTAGACAATATATTAAATTGAACTGCTTAATATGAGACAACACTAATCAATTTAATGCAGTTCAAATTGCATTATTTGGCAGTATAGATCCAGCTTTAAAATCCAGTAGTATTGTATCATCTAAACATAGGCAATGAGCACAGCTTTCAGAATCTACATGCCTTCTAGGCGAGAGTATAATATACAATCGGTGTTGTTTTCCCCCTCTGGCTGTGTCCTGAATACACTAAATACAAAACGGTTGGACAACAAAGGGCAGACCTTCCAGTATGGCGACCTTTATAGATAAATAAGATATTCCTGGAAGTGTGCTTTAAACTGCTTTGTTCACTTGCATTGAAATGTGTGTGAAAATACTGTAAACATACTCTTGTTTTTGCATTGGGCAGTGCTCAGAGAAGAGGAGAAAGGTTTTATTTACAGTTT